AACTACAACCAATCCGCATGACATGTGAAAAAAACATTGCTTCCTATGGTGCCTGTTTCACATATGTCCGGTGCACTGGTGGTGATGATTCAGTGCAGTTTTAGAAAAAGTCCTGTATGATTTCTGAACAGTGCGGTAAGGTTCAGGTGTGGATTACAGGCTATTGACTTCTATGGGAACCATTTCTAAACCTCATATGTGTGAACAGGATAACATCCTCCTGAGCTAATCCTGTCCTGAACCTGATGTAAACCTGATGTGAACCTGTGAACAAGTACTGTATCAATCAGCTGTGAAACCTGAGCTTTAATTTGCACCACATATGTGTGAATCAGCTCTTAAAGTCTTTTTTTGACCCAAGACTTAATACTGAGGTTTGTACTTCAGTTTTGTTTATTATAAGCATTAGATCAATTGTCTAATTGCAAAAGGTGTTGCCTCCTTACAATAGAGGTGTGCCTTTTTAGTCATTAGGGAAATGCAGTTCCCTATGGTATAGTGGATGCTATGGGATGTCATTCTCCTGAAATCGTTGAGCAAATGAGTCTGGTAACTGAAGTTCAAGTGTTACTAAACCCGGGAGCCTACATTCACTATATTTGGTCTCCCACAGTACACAGAACATGGAAATGCAATTATTTTAGTAAATATAAACTGCTAAATATAGTTTCTCATCATCGGTTAGAGCAGTCTTGTGACTTCTATCAGTGTCCAGTGAAGCACATGTTAAATCTTGTAGGAGGAGTTTTCGTTCTGCCCTAAGAGGATGCAGAACTCCTGACCTCTATCTGGACAGTGCTGATTGGCCCTGTGCTGATCACATGCATTCTCCCAAGAAAACAAAACCTTTCTAGCAATACACACCAAACTGAGCATGTGCAGTGTCTCCACACGATATGTCTTCTCAGGAAATAAGAGGGGGGCACTGGATGAAGGGAAGGATTACAGGAGTCAGGGTCAAACAGCATTTTTACACAATGCAGAGGATTAACCCCTTATGTTCCACAGTGAAAAAAACAAACATGCTTTACTGCATATACAGACTGATTTTACCGTTGTGGATTTAGTAATACTTTAAATCTAACCAGCAAAGAGCAATAAAAAAGTAAACCTCTCAGGTGAGGGTAAAACCTTTTGAGTCCAAGACAATACTGTTGTATACTACATGCCAAGATTTACAACTAGCTAATTTACAACTTCTGTCCGCTTGTGTGGATGAGCCCTCAGAGGACAGAATGTACAGTATGTTAACAATTGTACTTCCCATCCCAAACTGAAAAGAGAAGTGAATGGTATGTGCAATGAAAGGCCACAATATGTAGAGTAAATGAGAGGAAGTGAAATTTGTGTCCACGATCTTGTAAGATCACAGGCTCAGATGCTCCTCACAAAATATAAAGATGGAAAAAAGAACAGTTAAAGTGGTTGTAAACCCTTTACGTATACCTAGTGAAGTGACTGGCTTCAGGTGATACCTGGAGATTAAACAAATCCTTCTACATATGTTGTACTTGTTTATCTTCTTTTCTCTACATCCATTCAACGTGTAGAACTTATAACTTCTTGTGTGAGAATTAAAAAAATGGGGCGGAGAGTTGAAATTACACTCTGCAGGGAGAGCTCTGGGAGCTCATTGGAGGCAAGAAACACATCCCTCTTTACACAGCTCACAGGAACAGAGCTGAAGCTGTCAATCTGCTGGAGATCCCCCCCATGTCACCTTTTTTCTTATTGGTGTCAGGAAAATGTATCAGAAAGGACTCATGCTTATAGCAGACAAATGAAGCAGCAGACAGAAATGACACTTAGTGCTCTTAACTGAGACTGACACACTGTAGAGGGATCTGCTCTGTTCATATTTCATGTCTGAGGTTTTCAGCCACTTTTTAAAGGTTAATAGAAGATCTTATTTCTGTCAAGACATTTCTGTCACCTTTATTTTCTTTTTTCCTTTCTACACTTGTACCCGAGAGTATTTGTATGGCCATAAATATGCTTGGCTACAAGGGTCGCGGAAATGGTATTCAAACAAAACTTGCAGTGCAGCTCTAAGCTGAGGCAAAGAGAAGAAAAGGAGCCACTCACCAACCTAGTGCATTAGTATGTAGATAAATGTGGCCTCAGCCAGCGCTGCTCCAACCACCCTGACATGTTTTGCCCTGCCCTCCCAGGGGGGGCTTGGTCATAGAAGTTGGCGGGGCAAACCATGTCAGGGGATATGGCTAGAGCAGCGCTGGCTGAGGCTAGATTCATCTACACACTGATGCACTGGGTTGGTGAGAGAAACGTTATTATTTCTATTATTTTTACTGCCTTCATGTATAAGGGAACATATGGGATGGGAATATACCAGAGGTGTGAAAGACAACAGTTTCCGCAGCACTTTACAATGTGAAGGCAAACAGTACAGTTACAATACAATTCAATACAGGAGGAATGAGAGGGCCCTGCTCATTACAGCTTACAATCTAAAAGGGGAGGGTCAAGTGAAACAAAAGGGAATAACTGTGGGGGATGAGCTGAAAATACATGTACAGGTGGTAGGTGGAGGCCGGATAGGCTCTTAATACATGTACAGTTATTAGGTGGACGCAGAATAGGCTTCTCTGAAGAAAAAAGTTTTCAGGGATCGCCTAAAAGTGGACAGAGTAGGAGATAGTCACACAGATTGGGGTAGGGAAGGTGTCAGGGATCTCGAGGTCCACCGCGGCGCACGGGTCTGCACATGCGCGGAATACCAATGCGCACCAGCATGCGGGCGCTAGGACATAGGCGACCGCGGCAACAATCGCGGTCGAGCATGCGCACTCACGCACACGGACACGCGCCTGGCACCAATGACAGCTCAGGGCGCTTGGCAGAGAAGTCATATCCATATTAATGACTAAAGGCTTTCAGAAAGTTTGCAGTAAAAAATTTAAATCAGTGACTTGCATCTAGAGAGGCAGATCAGTGCTTCATATTAGTTGACTTTTAAATGACAAAGCAACGTAACCTAACCTAACAGTTCTTCCACACTTATGAGATGCTGTCCTTTTCAATATGGGGATAACATTCTACTCCAGAAAAATTCCAAACCATATGCTACTTGCTACATTCCTGCAATAGAAAAGGTGCAAAGGTCCAATACATTTTTCCTGAATGTAGTATTTTCCCGTCAAAACACTATAAAAAGTGGAGCAGTCTATGCAAACACAATTGGCTGCTTTAAAATTTTGTAGTGCAATATGTGTGCAGGAAAATAGCTGTTAAATATATGGGTTGTTTAAAAAGTAGTATTAGGCTGCAATCTATCTTTTCACAAAGTACTAGCACAGTTTCATAGCATACAAGCTTTTACAGTTCAAAGAACACAGCTTTCTGTTATTACATTTTGTACACATTTGAGTCATTGCAGTAATTTCTCTTTGCCCATAGCCATAAACATGACATTTCAGTCTTGGCATGGCCCTGATGTACACCTTCTTCGTACAGGTTCTCCCTGTGGCTCTTCAACTGCATCACCCACAGTCTACAGTATGTGGAGGGCAAGGTCCTGTTCATTGAGCAACTTTAATTGCAAATTGATTCTCTACAGATCAGACCACAATGTGTTTTTCCTTTCCATCTAGAGTGTATTTTGATTTTCTAACTGTCTCACTCTGGCAAATTCCAGTTGAAAAGCTTCATAAGGCATGGATTCTTCAATTCTACTGTACCTCCAGGCCACAATAGTTCCTGCAAATCCTGGAGTTAGAATGTGTTGTGACACTACCAGGAATTCAATGTGCATGCAGTGCATCAGGTTTGCTAACAGTAAACTATTAGTACTTTTAATAGTAAATATGGTTGTCGTCATTGCACTGGGTGGTTGTGCCACACTAAAACTTGTCTTATACATGGAAATTAAATTTGGTTATCAAACTTTGGATTTTATTTGTGCCCAAATAACAAAGCATTCTTAGATATAAAATGGTTGTTTTGATTGACCATAAGGATCAAAATTGCTGCAAAGTGGTAGAAAAATCCATAGCTTATTTTTTTTTTTATTTTTGATTCAAACTTTATTCAACAATTGATTCAACAATTTATTGCCCATTATTTTCAGCTTTACAATCCAACAAATCCTGGTGATCTCTATCAAACCTGTGGGTAGTAGATTGCTTAGTTTCTGGTAATTACTTTAGATTGTATTTGTAATTCTTGGTGGATCAACAGTGGTTGGAGTTGCCAAAAAAATTCCCCCATGTAGGGCCAATTATAGGACAAGCAGAAAACTGGCAATGAAAATTCTAACTCTGTGACTTTCAGCTTCACTCTTTTAATCTGATCATCATAAGTAGAGCTGTAAACAGACCTACCTAAGGGTCAGTTCTCACCAAGTTAATGTCTTCTTACATTGCAGTGCATATTTAATGGTCCTTATTTAGTTGATTTAAGAATTGGAAACCGTAAGTCACTGCAAGCAACGAGCATCATGCAGAACTTCTTACAATGCATATTACTTAGAATTAGTTCTGTTGAAAGCACTGCATTTTCCTATTTCCAAATATTTTGCCTTCATTTGAACATGCAGAAAACACTTAGGGGGAGATTTAATAAAACTGGAGCACTCAGAACCTGGTGAAGCTGTGCATGGTAGCCAATCAGATTCTGACTTCAGCTTGTTCAATTAAGCTTTGACAATAAAACCTAGAAGCTGTTTGGGTACTATGCAAAGTTGCACCAGATTCTATTTGCACCAGTTTTAATAAATCGCCCCATCTCAGTGAGAACAACCCCTATGTTTACCCATTAACACTCATACAGGCAAGTGATCCATGGTGGACAGCTTTTCAGACTATGGCTAAGCAACCTCTATCACCTCTATAGAGGCAATCTTGAAGCTTTCTGAATTACTGTTTTTTGGGGGTTTTTTTATTGTTTCCTGATGAACAGCAATTTATCATGGGGCTAGTGTGCCCCAACAGCTTCCAAGCAAGCTTTTGGCTTGTGATTGTGCAGGGACGGACTGACAACTCATGGGGCCCCCGGGCAATAGGGGATCATGGGGCCCCTGTGTCCTTGCCCAAACTCAAAAAAGCCTATGAAAAAGGTACCAGGGGCATCTCATGTGGACCCTACTGACCCCGGGCCCTCAGGCAGTGCCCGAGTTTCCAAATGGTCAGCCCCCCCCCTGTGATTGTGTCATGGGGCCATTGACTTAAATAGCTAAAGTTGACAGGTGTACTGCCTGTCAAATCAGTATGTTGCATTACATTTTTAATGACTGAAACATCGAGCATCATAGCTGTGCCTGTGAATGACTGTTGTTTAGCCTTTAGGTGTGCAGTTGGGGCAATAACACCATGGCTCAGTCACCTATTTTTATTGCCCCCCCCCAGCTACCCACATGAACTAGGTCTAACTTTGACTGCATAATACCTATTCAACAGGTTTAAAAACAACTATGTAGTGTGAGGTTCTACCAAACCAGTTCATTCAGTCTATAGCTAGCCAGGTAGGCTCACTTACTACCCCAGGCTACATGATTGTAGCAGATGAGCTTACAGGTGGCAGATGAAGAAATTATTTTCCACGGACATTGTTATATATTCAATTTACTCTAGAAACACATTGTGCCTTAAATTTCAATGTGTGTGTGAGCAGGCCTAAGTGCTATGTTCCATTAGCATCCATGTCCCTAGTGGCAACTTGCCAGAATCAAGATTGTTGAAGAGACTATTCTCATGCTCCTTTGGTGTTTGTTGTTTGATGGCTGAAATATTGCATAATCTTGCTTACCAGCCCAAGGAGCAATGCTATGGGAGTAGGTGAGTGTGCTCTCAGTAATATAATCTCTAGTGTGAAATGGCATTTCAGATAAATCCAGGATAAGGATCTATAGCCTGAATAGAGAAGAGTTGGGTGGGTTCTCTGGTCATATACCCCACTATGGACTTTACATCTGTGTAACCGAACACAGGTGTCTAAGAGCAGAGGCATAGCTTGAAGCTTGTGGGCCCCGATGCAAAAGTTGACCTGGGGCCCCCCACTACCATCACCGTGAGCCAAGATGCTCACACAGCGCGCCAAGATATGATAGCTCTATGGTGGCTGTGTCTCTCTTCTCTCTCTCCTGATGCCTACTGCACATGCACACAAGATGGAGGCAGGCAGGCATTAGTTGTTAGGTGAAAGCGGTAGTTTTGTATGTAAAAGAGGAAACTCGGCAGGACCCTTCCAGATCCACATACAATGGTACTCTCCTCCTCCTACCCCCATTCAGCCCGGTGACAGCTTGGTGTTCATCTCCACCTGGTTGTCAGCACTGATACTTTCCAGTCCAACAGGGCTGGCCTCAACCCATCCTTCCTCTGCTACTTTCCAGCTCAGGGCTTACAAATGGTGCCAAAAGCTCACAGTGCAGAGCTTTCGTTTTGCTCTGGATTATGCTTTGCCTGTCATAGTGAAAGGGAGACAGCACGACCCCCCTGGAGCATGAGCGGGGACACAACTGTGACCCCTGAGACCCCTAATGCTACACCCATGTATAAGAGACACAAGGTAGTAAATTTCATCTTGGTTTGGTGTACATAGGATTTAATTTGATATGCTTTTGTTATTAAATCTAGGACAATCTTTTTTGAATGTTTCAAATAAGAAGGATATATTTTTTTTTTATAGAGCAGTGTAATACTACTGAGTACAAACCGGAAATCCGTGGTGGAATGCTATGAAACCCACGAAGTAAACCACAAATGTACATAACTGAACTTTACATTTATCTAGACTCAGTTCTGGCTTGTGTGAATTAAATATGCTTCTTCTACTTTCCATTAACATTCTAATATATTGATACATATGCACATTTTAATTGAAATATTGATGCTGTCACAGGCTCATAAACCTCTTGAGTATGGAATCAAATGGGACATACATAGCGGATACTGTAGTTTCTTCAAGTGTAAACTATATTCTTTTACATTTTTTAAAAATCACACACCTGAAAAAAACTAATTTATACAAAGCAATTTTAACAAAGCTATCTATTTATAACTGTTTCCATCCAAGATTCAAACAACTTTCATGTTTTTCACACATTTTTCAACTGGATTCAATTTAAAAAAAACAGTAAGTCTTGGATGGATGTTGTGGGGATGGGACAATTATAAAAAGACCCCAAATTTAAGCAACAGTCTAAAAATAATTAAATAATTTTAAAAAAGAACCTTTTTAAGTGTCCCCACCCCCTTGTGCTTGCACGTAAAGGTGATCACACGCATTGGTCCTTCACGCCCGCAAACAATGATTGTCTCATACATGTGAGGTATCAACGCGAATGTCAGATTGAGGGCAGTAATTCTAGCACCTGACCTCTGGTATAAATCTAAAGTGATAACCTGTAAAAGTTTTTAAAGTGTCACCTATGGATAATAAAATGTAGGTCGTTCATGCATGGGTGTGCGCAGTTTAAAAAGCATGACATATTTGGTATCTATTTACTTGGCATAACATCGTATTTTATATTTTACCAAACAATTGGGAATTGTGTTGTGTTTTTGTGTATTATAATTCAAAATGTGCATGCTTTCCACCCTAAAAACGTTTTTTCACCATTTCTTTCTCTAGGACCTCTACTTTAAAAAAAAAATAAATAATGTTTGTGGGTTCAAAGTAATTTTCTAGCAAAAAATACAGATTTTTACATGTATACAAAAAGTGCCAGAAAAAGCTTGGTCTTCAAGTAGATATCTGGATTCTCACAACAAGGGTTGATTTACTGAAAGCGGACACTGCAAAATCTGTGGGCAGCTATGCACAGTAACCAATCAGCTTCTAACTTCAGCTTGTTCAATCAAGCTTTGAAAAAAAACTGGAAGCTGAACTGGTTTCTATGCAGAGCTGTACCAGATTTTGTAGTTTTAGTAAATCAACCTCCGTGTCTCTCTGCATTAAAATTGAGACTGTACCTTTGTATTATTTGTATTATATTCTGGCTCTTTTATATATTTTTTTATTTAATTGTAATTCTATTTACTGTATACTATGTATACCTTTTTTTACAGCTTTCACCAAACACAGACTTGCCAGGATATAACTAAAAATGATATGGAAATCACACTCTGGGGAGCATTTTTCATGCAATTGCTTAGCAAATAATGTACACATTTTTTTTATATAGTTACTTCAGGTATTTAAAAGGCATCAACAATTTATGGAACTCTATACATTATTATATCATATTATATTGTACATTCACATCAGTCCCAGCCCTTGAGGAGTTTACAACCGAAGGCCCTACCTCACATGTATACAGTACATACACATACTAGGGCCAACGTAGACAGGAGACAATTAATCTACCAGCATGTCTTTGGAGTATGGAAAGAAACCCACACAGGCACAGGGAGAGAACATGCAAGCTCCATGCAAAATATTAGCATTAATCTTTGAGTAATTTTGCAACCAAAGCAATAGATTTCATTTTGCATAATACTGTGAGCAACAGCGACTGTACACTAGTTTTCTCAGTTTTTTTTTTCTTTTTTAATCCAAACAAGTTTTCTCAGTTTTGCCTTAACTGGGAGCACCTATGTTAGCAATTCACTGATCTGTTTAGTTAGTTTCTGAGATACATAGGTTCAGTGAGCTATTGTCAAAATTACTCATTTAGTAAATGATTTCCATGGCATGGAATATTTTATTGTACAAAACTGCATTATTCTCCTTGTACAACCTCTGGTAAGAGTATGTTTGGGCTGTTGGGGCTCAGTATATACTTCAGTGTACATTTTCTGGTGTGTATTTTGGAGGCATCCATAGGATGAAAAGACGGGACTTTAACTATCCTTTCTCACCAGAATTGATAATTGCAGCTATGATGCACTCTTCAATTAAATATGTGTATATCCACCTACCCCCAAAATATCTCAAAAAGTCACACTTTCTCCCCAGAAAGTAATACAATATTATAACCTTTTTGAATTTACATAAACATATTCATATTCAAATACCATAATAATAAAATAAAATAAAATTAAAATAAAAATCAAAAACATCCAATAAAAAGTGTCCCAATAAACAAAAAATTGTCCCAATAAAAAATTGTCCCAATAAAAACAAAAATAGTGAAAATAGTGTCCAAAAAAAAAAAATAAAAATGTTCCCAATGTTCAAACTTTATCATCCAGTAGGAAGAAATCCCATTTCATCCCGCGGTACCTCAAAAAAACAAATTTGAATAATCTAGTGCATTACCTTTATAAATAATATTTATAAAATAATATATACACTCCGTGCAAAAACACAAAACACAAAAAACTGTGCAAAAACTGTATATATATCTCTTTCGTGCACAAAAAGATTAACTGTGATCACTCTGTGAGCACTGCAATACTGTGTATCCACCAACACCAATGTATTTAGATACTATTACCCTCTGTAACAATATACCAGCATCCAATGAGATCTTTCCAATTTGCTCCAAAGAAATTATTCCAAGGTCCTCAAAAAAAGACAAGAAGGGTCTCAAGGCTCATATTCAAGGTATAGGTAAGAAATTTTAATAGCCACTTACATTAAAATATCATAAATCCAGCTCCCAACATGTTTCTTGTGTGAGTTCTATCAAACAAATGCAATAAGCCATGTGTTGACAACCCACAAAATGGCCGCGGCGACACTTCCGGTCTGCGTGCGTGTGTCAAAGGGTGTGACGTCGTGACGCACGCACGCAGACCGGAAGTGTCGCCGCGGCCATTTTGTGGGTTGTCAACACATGGCTTATCGCATTTGTTTGATAGAACTCACACAAGAAACATGTTGGGAGCTGGATTTATGATATTTTAATGTAAGTGGCTATTAAAATTTCTTACCTATACCTTGAATATGAGCCTTGAGACCCTTCTTGTCTTTTGAGGGACCTTGAATAATTTCTTTGGAGCAAATTGGAAGATCTCATTGGATGCTGGTATATTGTTACAGAGGGTAATAGTATCTAAATACTATTGGTGTTGGTGGATACACAGTATTGCAGTGCTCACAGAGTGATCACAGTTAATCTTTTTTGTGCACGAAAGAGATATATATACAGTTTTTGCACAGTTTTTGTGTTTTGTGTTTTTGCACGGAGTGTATATATTATTTATAAATATTATTTATA